TTATTGCATTGGGAAAATCTGCTGCAAAAGACCTCTTTCAAGTGTTAAAGAGCAAAGATGTCACCTTGAAACTTAGGTGTGCTTGCCCCAAGACATGGAATTTTCAGTTGCCTCATATGCATGTGAAAGCTGGACAGTGAATAAGGAAAACTAAAGGAGGCTGATACCTTTGAATTGTGGTGCTGGTGAAGAATACTGAAAATACCATGGACTACCAGAGGAACAAACCCATCTGTCTTGGAAGAAGTACAGTCAGAAAGTTCCTTGGACGCAAGAATGGCCAGATTTCGTCTCACATACTTTGGGACGTCAGAAGTTTGTTGTCTAAAATGACCAGTTCCTGGAGAAGGATGTCATGCTTGGTAAAGTGGAGGGTCAGCGATAAAGGAGAAGACCCTCAATGAGATGGGCTGACACAGTGGCTGTGACAGTGGGCTCAGGCATACAAGGACTGTGAGACTGGCGCAGGACCGGGCAGTGTTTCATTCTGTTCTACGTGGGGTTGCTATAACTCAGAGCCAACTCGATGGCACCGTACAACAACAGTCTTTATGGAAGCAGACTGCCACATCTTCTCCAAGGAGCACCTGGTGGATTCAGACCACCAGCCTTTCGGTTAGCAGTCAAGCACTTTAAGCAGTCCACCCAGCAGGGCCTCCAGAGACATTATAAACAAACAATCAAATAAAACACTGTTACTGTCAAATGGATATAACTCACGCAACCTCACATGTTATAGGGTAGAACCGCCCCTTAGGCTTTCCAAGGCCATAACTTCATGGGAGCAGATTGCCACATCGTTTTCCCGTTGAGCGCCTACTGTATTCAAACTGCCAGTCTCAGTTAGCATTAGCCACTGTGCCACCAGGGCTCCGTGGAGTCCCCCGTAAGTGAGAACCAATCACAGGCTACTGTCAGACCCGTGATGATCAAGAAAGGGGTCAACAAGCCAGGCCAGTAGTTAAACGAAAGGTCAGAGGAAATGGCTAACATTTGTGGGAGTCAGAGCAGCCATTCCCCGATTTTCAGGTAAATACTCTCTTCTGTGTAAATGCCAAAGTAGTCTTGAAATGTTACCATCCATCGTGTTTAATTAAAGGTGCTCCAGATTTCCAGATTTAGGTAATCCAAGTTCTCCACCAGGAACTTTATTTGAATACTTAACCTAAAATTGAATAAATTGAACTCAATAATCTGATCAAGGCCTGAGTCATAATTTTTATCTACAGAGCTGCAGATTGGGTCAGGGCTCCTACTTTTCCTTACAGAAGTTTGTACTGTCTTTTTTCCTCTTTTGCCCATCATTAATTTCTTACTGTTACCCGTGTACCTGCTAGCACAATGAACAAATCTGTCTTGCTATATGTACAGGTGGAATGCTCCTTAGAAGCGAGAATGCCCTGATGCAAAAAAAGGCATGGGGGTGGCATCCTCTGACCTCCCCTGATTTCGAGAGGGGGTGAGAGAATCACCACCAGCAGCATCAGCCCAAGGCTGATTGCCATGATGTAGAGGTCGGACATGCCACGGCCCTCTCACCTTTTAACCAATTCTGACACCAACCGTCCCTCCCTCAGCACTCACTACTTCTATGCTGTGTTCAGTAATTCATTGCACTGGCCACACAGAACTCACAGACAGTACTCACAGTTACAAGATTTATTAGGGAAGGAACAGGTTACAATTCAGGTTCAATTGTAACTCACTCAGGATACAATTCTTAGATCAGGACAGTCTCCCCTCTGCTTTGCCCTCAGGCACACTTCTCTCTGGCCCCTGGCCTCTCAACCTGGACTCTTCTCTGCTTGGACAAGTGTCACAAAGCTCTTTTTGCTCTGCGGATAGGGCACCTGGGTG